ATGTACAAAGTTCTTAGTTTCTTCTATTATTGCTGCTTTTGTAGGATTTCTCCACTTTTCTGGGACTCTCTTTAGGATCAAAGTGTTTCATCATTCATGCTTTAATGCTGGGAAAACTGCTAATTAAAGCGTAATAGAAGAAAAACAAGGCATCAAACACGGCAAAGTAAAAAAGAGAAATTTGTGATGAAAATAACAAAAACGATTTATAAATGCGTTTGCCGGGAGTCGAACCCGGGTCTATTGCTTGGAAGGCAATTATCCTAACCGTTGGACTACAAACGCTGATGTTGTTTAGTGTCTTGATATTTTATTTCTTATCTATGTGTTCATTAACGCATTCACGGTTTTTACCTTTTTTTTGTATCACGATTTTAAATAGCTTCTGTTAACTGTAGTTCAAAATCAAGTTTAAGGATTAGTTAACTTAATGGTGATGTCAGTATTTTTGAGAGCGCTGGTAGGGTTGTTCACAAATAAATTCAAACCAATCAATCCGGCCCGATACAATCCGATTTGGTTGGTTTTTCTTTACCCGATCGGCCTGGGCTGGGACCATAGGCTATGTCGGGCTGACGCCCCAAACTATGCTAAAATTCTCTCTAAGAGAGTTTTTCTTCTCATCAAGTTTGTTTCAATTTTTCCCTTTGAAATATTGAGCTCTCACACTTATTCTCATTGGTTCAATGTTTTTAAGTCATTTTGCTTTCCAATGTGTCATTTAGGCTGCATTTGGAAGCAATGTAAATATTTATGTCGGTTCGGTTTTGTTAGTGTTTAGAAGAGTTTAAATCAAGATCAATGTAAAACTCCACTACGGTTTGGTTTTGCATATGTTTGGATGTATGGAATGGAGTTTTACATTATAAACCGACGCAAAACTTCATCTAAAGTAGAGTTTTACACCAATTATTGATGTAAATACTACATCAATAAAATCGATGTAAAACTATGTTTTTCTCATCACGCTTTTCAAAATTCAAGTGGTCACATTCAAACGGTTCGATGTAAAACATCATCAATGTACTATTACACCGATGACATTTTACATCGGTTCCAAACGCAGCATTAGTGTTACATTCTTCATCACACTTGGAAGAAGCTTTGTTAGGTGTCCTTTTCCCCTTCTCATCGGATTTGCTTAGTTAATCCAAGTACACATTAGAAGTGTTTTGCATCAAAAATATTTTGGAAATGTCTGAAAATGATTGGAAATGCAAAAACAATGAAAATGACACATTACAATGGAAGAAAATGCTGAAAAAAATCTTGGAATTGTCACTTATAACAAATTCGAGTTTTGGCATTTGTTTCCTTCATTCTCCCAAATTTCTTTCCAAAATGTTGAAAACTAAGAAAAAAATGAAAAATTGATTTACTACTAGCTAAAAAATGGAGATAATAGAAAAAACATTAATAAGATGAAAAAATAAACATTCAGGTTAAAACTGGAGCGCATGCGATGTGTGTTTGAAGTTGGGGCAGCTTGTCTCACCCGCTAGGGTTAGACCCGAAGCGCATGCAATGTTTGTTTGGATGAAACGCTAAACCTTGACCATTTTTTAGTTATACCCTAGACCTTGGAGATTGATGAGTAAAACTGAAAAGTTACACATAACCCTTAGACTTGATTATGGTATTCACTAGGTATTCGATTGAGTTGTCTTTGATATGCTAATCAGTGAGATCCCTCAATGGTCAAAACCTAGGTATATTGGTACAATCTTAGAATTCATATGAATCGGTGATCATAGTGATTGGATCAACCCCTTAACCAGACAAAGTGAATGATAGGGCTTACACTCTCTCTGATGGAAACATAAACTATTAGTAATGTACTTCAACTGTGTTTGAGATTTGGTTTTGCAAAATATATTTATATGATATATGAAAAATATTAATTCCCATGATCTATCCGAGTAGAGAGTGTGACATTACACCTTACAACTAGGGGAGAGGTCTTTCCATGTCAAGCAGTGTTTGATCATTATGGGTCGAGAGGTTAAGTGTAAAAAATCATTACAAGGCTGACTACCTGATGGGCTTTATTTTACTTAAGTCCATTATCCTTGGATCTTCATATGATGATTGAATTCAATGATCATTGAAGTGTAAATGTTGGGCTCATATTGAGCCCATAGTGATTTGCTTAGGGGTTCACTGTGTTTAGTAGTGAATTCAGCCATGCCTTTTCACAGGGGCTAGGCAAACCCATGTGGACTTATGTAAAGTTATTATGAGGTCCCACGTCATACAAATCAGGCCTAACTTGGCCATGCAATACCCTTTGGTCGTGAACCTTATAGCTGATAGGCCTAAGGCCATAATTAATATGATTAATTAAACTAGCACATGACAACTATCATGGGTTTGGGTCTAGGTATGGAGCACTTAATCTTATAAAAAGATAAGGTATATCTCTACTTAGAGTCCAGATCTGATTTAGATCTGGATTATCTTCTAATTAGATTAGSGAATAGCTCCATAAGAGATTATAAAAGAGGAGGCGGCAAAGCAGTCCAAGACAGTTTCATATTTTTGTAGTTTTTTGTTCTCTCTGCACCCTTTTGTCTCTCAATTTTTTTCAAGTTCGACATCAACTATCTAAGACTGATTTAGATCAATTTTCTTTTGATTCTTGCAAAAAAATTTAGGGAATATCAAGCTCATCATCCTCGGTTTGATCCAAGCAATTGGATTTTAGTTTTGCTGAAAACTATGTTACTTAATCAGTTTCACCTATACATTGTGCCATATTCAAGGCTGATTTTAGAGCTGATTTGGGCGTGAATTTTCATCTTGAGATCTGCATTTGTAGTATCCGTATCAAGTACAAATCTCCTTTTTTTTATTTCAAATCCGGTCTGATTCAGTGCAAAACTGATCCTTAAAAATGTAGTTTTTCAAAACATAGAGAATTTAATTTCTAAAAGGATTAGGAAATTTTGAAATTTCACCCAACCATCTAGCATGGCCATCCTTATGATGGATCATAATCCTTCCAACAGTTATCAACTTCCCAATAATTTATTATAACATAAAGACATATTCCAACCACCTCTCCCCTCCTAACTTCATAAAACCCCACTATTGTATAACAAGGGCCAAAAATCTGGAGCACATGGAAAAAGAAGAATTTGTTCTTTCCTGTAATGCATTGGCTACAATCAACACTCCCAAGACTAGATCATTTCAATTCTAGTTCAACCATCAGGCTCAGCAAAGTCCACAAATGAAATAGCCTATAAAAGTAGCTGAACAAAAACAGAAGAAAAATCAAGGCCATCTAGAACAACTATTTAATTGAACTTTCCAGTTTACCAGTTTATTCAGTTTCTGATGCAACTCAGTTGATAACTGAACCAAAGCATTAGGGATGCTGGCCCCAGCTATCCAGGTCCTTGGAAGGGAAGACCTGGATAAAGACCCATCTTCCAACATTTTTTACAAGTTGCTCTTATGCCCATATACTCATCATTATCATCTGAGGATTTAGTTTACCATCAAATCAAGCAATGGACAAAATATAAAATTACATGTTCACAAGCCTTTGTCATAGTTGACTTATAATATTAAATTCCAGGAACTAATAGTGATTATTAGCCCTGTTAGAGTCTTTAAATCTCTTTAGAACCAAAAAAAAAAAAAACGCTTATACGACCACGTTTGTTCATGAGAACCACCAAAAACAGCAAGGTTATTGGGCATTAGAACACTAAAACCAGACCACTAGTGGATGATCGGGGTAGCAATAGTTGTTGGACATCAGAACACTAAAACCAGACCACCAATCCAGAACAATTTGATCCTTTGATGCCCACTTTTGTTTTTAGTTTTTCCTCTTTTTAGTGGGGATAACAAAACATCCAGCAGTGTTGTGTATAAGAACCACCAAAAACAGCAAGGTTGTTGGACATTAGAACTCTAAAACCAGACCACTAGTGGATGATCGGGGTAGCAATAGCTGTTGGACATCAAAACACTAAAACCACACCACCAATCCAAAACAATTTGATCTTTGATGCCCACTTTTGTTTTTAATTTTTCCTTTTTTTAAGCGGGGATAACAAAACATCCAGCAGTGCTGTGTATAAGATAGAGAGAAAATACAGGTGAAAGAAGAATCTACATACAATTGTGGAAATGGGGAAAATGGAAAAAAATGATCCATATGATGTTCTTTTTTACTCGACTTTTTTGTTGATCAGATCACTTGAATTTTTTTCATCAACAATAAAAAGAATTTCATTTATGAAAGAAATCCTTGCCCACCAAAAAATAACGAACAGGGCACAAAGAGAATAGCATTTAGCTATTCAACCCCATGACCTAAAGAAACCAGAAACTAAGCAAAGCATCAGATCACTGATACGCCCTAAAACGGGATAAAACACAAATCAATCAACGCATAAGTGAGGAAGAAGAAAGATCGATCTTAGCTTCGTGTTCACCGGAGCGATTGATCTTACCTTTGTGCTCTATAGTGAGAAAAATGGATTTAACCTTCGTGGTCTGTAGAGAGAGAGAAGCAGATTCAGTGGAGAGGAAGTCAAGGTTCAAGAGAGAGAAAGTCAAGGTTTGAGGGAGAGAGAGAGAGAGAGAGAGAGAGAGAGAAAGGGACGCAAGATTGAATGGAGAGGGGCTCACGGTTCAATGGAGAGAGTCGAGGTTCGACGGGGAGAGAGAGGGTCCAGGTTCGAACTTGGAATGAAAATAAATAGAATGGAAAAGTGGGGCACCAATATTTTTCGTGCTGCAAAATAGATACAACATTTTTTGCCCTAAACCCAAGTTCCATTCTGGAAAGAATGAATCCTACGGCAAGAAATTTTTATCCAAACACCTTTATCTCATGGCTCATGCATTCTTGTTCATTCTTGCCTGGGCAAGAATAAAAAGAACGAGGCCCAAAGCTATGGACCAAACATGGCCTAAATTTCCAAGGTGTTGTTAATTAGACATTGTTGCTAGCAGCTTTTGTTGAGAAAGATGATGTCCCATAGCAGAATAAAATTCATTGGCTGTGAAGCGAAAGCTGGGTTGAACATCATGTTAGGAGATGCGTTGTACATGGGACCTAAAAACATAGCACTTTGATTCATTCCAACCATTTGAGAATTAAATATGCTATTCAAAGAATCATTTGATGCCGAATGACTTGGTTGAATGCTTGGGTTTGAGAGGGTAGCTTCTGAAAACAACCCGGAGAAGCTTCCTTAGTTTCTTAGTCTCTGATCTCTTGTCAGCTACAGATAAACCAGCCGTTAAATTATCTATACTCCCTTTATCACCTGATTGTTCTGAATCAGAAATGGAACCAAAAATATCCAATAGTTGTGCTCAATTTTTATTTGCTTGCATGCGGATTTCATTAGCAGCCTTTTTATCACCAACCACCAACCCTGAAAATAGGTCATTGACAGGTTCTCTATCTTCAGTTGTATGAAATGAGACATCTGCAAATGGGTCCGCTTCAGTCTTATGTCCATTGGTGCTCAAGCCAGTAGCTGAACTATCTCCAATAATAATCATCCGAGTCACCAGTATCTATTAAATCAGGTATCTGAACAGTAGGGGGTTTTGCTCCCACACTAGATGGCTTTTCTGGAAGACTATGTTTTTCAATTGTCTGGTCTCCATTCAGAAGGCTTAAGGCCTGCCAATTAAAAGCAATTCTAAAGTTAACTACAACTAATACACTATAATCTTGCATGCCTCACTCTCAATATAGGAGATTATTCATAAGAATGATTTGAAAAATAAGTTTAGAACTAGATCACCATCATCGTCATCATCATCTAAGCCTTGTCATAACTATATGGGATTGGCTATATGAATCGATTAGGGAGATGTGGTGCTTTTTTTTTTTTTTTGATCAATGGAGAAGAAGTTTGTTAGCTCAAAAGGTGGTGCTTGATGGCACTTTCCTGAAGTCCTCACCATTGAATCATAGGACCCTATTGTATGTCTGCCCAGGTAAAAGCAGGCAGTCCCATACCCTAATTAGCAAACAATGATACTTTTTCAGTACCAACTACATAATCATGGAATTAGAAAAGTGCAAAACATGAATTTTCTAATATCAACAAGAAAACAAAATTTGAAGAGAAAAAGCAATATACAACATGATTAATTATGTAAACCCTAATAACTCATGTACAAACACATGGCAGTTGCCTCACTCCTAACTAGGACATTCAATGGGTTGGTTCTGCCCAACTGCCCAACCCAAACTGAACCGATTATATTGGTTCTGGTTCCATGATTTTGTCCTGATTAAAATAATTGGGTTGGTTCTGGTTCTTGCCTGTCCTGAATCGATTATTTTATTAAACATATACAAGGTTTTCCTAATTTTTTTATAATTTTTATCATATTTTATGTTTGAATAGGTAAACTTGAAAGATAATATATGATATAATATTGGTTAAAATGTTTAATTTATTAACATATAAATAATTTGTTATTTTACTGTCATTTTTGTTAAGGTTATATTATCAAATTTTAAGTTATTATTTAAATAAATAAGTATAGTTTTCAGTATAATTGGGTTTATGGGGTCAGACATGATTTTCCCAACTATTAACCATGATGGTTCTTGGGCTGTGATTTTGTCCCAATTAATAATCGGTTCGGGACTGGGACCACCATGTCAGCCTGTCCTGACCCAGATCTCACCTGTTGACAGACTTACTCCTAGCTGGGTATAGTTAAAACTAGATATATGTATCCAGATCTGATAAAATATTGATCAAGCTCAAAAATCTTGGACAGGACGTACCATAGCCATTTATATTGGTTGATCTATGTGTTGCAGTGACTCCACCATCCAAAGGTACCTAATCTTGTCCAATATGTTCACAAGCCTTGACAGAAATATTCTTGACAAGAAACACACTCAAATATCCAAAGGAGTAGGGTTCTACTTCAGAAGTCTAATATAGAGTTTCGTCTAATAGAGTCCACTATGGACAAGAAACACTCAAATATCCAAAAGCAGTAGGGTCCTACTTCAGAAGTCTAATATAATAGAGTTTCGTCTAATAGTAGCAAGATCAATCAATTGCCTAGTTGATCCTTTGTCTAGACAGAGAGAACAATGAAACATTCTGTTTTGAGGAGCTGACAGAACTTGGCTGTACTTGGGAGTACAAATTGAATCTAATGTAGATAGATCCCTAGGACTGCAAATTCATGGCTGACTTACTTCCTAGGGAAGGGCAAATAGAACTGATTTTATCAGGGTCCTGACGGAACCGGATTCAGTCAGAGCAAAGTCCATTCGAACAGCCATTATAGCCTTGCATTGGGAATACCTCCCCATGAAATAAAGCACAGAAGTACAGAGATATTCCCGACGAAAGGTTGTAAAGGCTCTCGGTCCTGGTGCCCACTAGTGTTTCATCTCTATGATGCCCACTAGTGTTGTCAGGCTTGGACTGGACTGGACAGCTAATAACCCAGTGACCCTTCTGGGTCCTCTTAAATGATGGTTTTCATGGTTTTAACAAGCTAACCACCCAGTTAACTGGTAAAACTGTGACCCTGTGAGCATTCCAGTCTTTTATCCAGTCTGAGTCTGACAATATTGTTGCCCACTAATGCTGGAAAACCTAGAAGAAGGAAATTTCAGTACTGCAGTTCTTTCCTATAATAATTTATTATTGTTGAAAAAATACTAAATCATACTAAGGTATCATAAGTATTAATAGTGGGATTGAACTAGTGTTTTAAAAGTGCAAGGCACAAAAAAGGTGCAAGGGCCAATTTGTGCCCGAGGCGAGAGGTGCAAGGCAAGGACGCCTTTTTGAAGCAAGGCGCAAAAATACAAAAAAATGCTAAAAAAATGTCAGAATTTTCAAAAAATGCCAAAACAATTCAAAAAATGCAAAAAATATAAAATAAAATATTAATAAGGAATATGAACTTAAATTTTAAAATTAATGGTTTAAAAAACCTATAATCTAAAATTAAAATACATAAACATAACACGTAAAGCATATTCAAATGAAAATTTAAAAATAAAATCAAACGTATAAAACATTTTCAAGCATGTAAAGCTCACAATCACTTTTTTTCCTCATATGCATTACTTCAAGTAGCTAATGTCATGTAAAAATATTACATTCCTAATTCTACGAGTCACCTTTGTGCCACGTCCCTTGAGGCAAGCCCAAGCAAGTCCATGTTCAGGTCTTAAATTCTTAATTCTCATACAAAAAAATAATGATTTTATAATTTTAATTGCTTTTTAAGAAGATATGAACAACATTAGCAAATAGGAGGTTCTTGGAGCTCTGGTGTGTGATAATTAAGAATTTAAGACCCGGCCATGGACTTGTTTGGGTTTTACCTCGAGGGGCATGGTTGGGGTCCAGGGGCTCAACCGTAGGTTCAAAAAAGGCAAAAAAAATTGTACAATTTTCAAAAGGCGCACGCCTGGACCAAGGTGCAAGGTGCATCAGGTGCACCAGGTGTGCGCCTTTTGAAAGTGGTGCGCCTAGGACCTGGGCGAGGCGCCTACCCTAAAATGCGCCTCGCCTGTGCACCTAGGCACGCCTTTTAAATCAATACCCTAAAAAGGCATGTCTTTTACTCCAAGAGATTGCATTCAACACCCATACACAACAAATTCTCAACTGAAAATAGAGAAAGTAGAGATTGAAGGAGTAGAAAAGCTGCAATTGAAACCTTATTCGATTCAAAGAGGAGAACAAAAAAGCTCTTGCAGTTGAAATTGAAGGAGTAGCTAAAACACGATGGTTAACAGTGATGCAGTTGGAAGGAAGAATTAAGAGAGAAGGAACTTGTCGTGTATTGAGTCAGAGAAGCGCAAAGCAAAGAGATGGTATTTGGTTGGTAATTCCAACAGCTGCAGAATCCGCTACGGGAGCCAGAACACAAAAATCTATGGGCATGCCATAAACCACTAGACATATATCAATTACTTGTTCTTGGAGCAGAGCAGAGACATGTCATAAACCATGGCTTGTTTTTTACCAAACTTGAAAAATAGCACACAATTCCACAAATGAGCATTGGCTATTAAACAAGATAAACAACAACGAAAGGCAACACAATCTACAGGTCAAAATTTAAATTCTTATAAATTCATTATGCTAGAAATCTATGCATCAGTACCAGTTAAAACCCAATGGAAACTGAAAAGAAAAATGAGAAATAGCAATTGATTATACCTGAACACGGTGAAGAGCAACAAATATTGATGAGAAAGGAGAACACAGTGAAGAACATGAACATAGTAAACGGTGAGTCGCGATTAGCCAATTAGTACTTGTGAAGAGATGAAAGAAGAAAAGGAGAAAAACATACCTGTGTAGTTGCTGGAGTCAGAGTTTCTCTGTCGAATTTTTCTCAAAGTATCGGGAAGCTGAGAAGCCCAAATAGACCATAAGCTTGGCTTGGAGCCTCTCAGATCCAAACCACTTTGGTCTTTCAGGGTCTTTTTCGGGATCTGTCTTTTGGTCTAGTGGGCTTTTACTAGCCAAACATGAAAATACCATTTTTGGTCTACTAGACTTCTAAAAGCCCAAAAGATCTTTCAAAAAGACTTGCCAAACAAGGCCTTCATCTATCATGCATAGGCGATGTTGGAAATTTTTTCTGCTTGTTGGTTGACATTGGATCACACATGAGGCAATGTTAGTGGTAATTTAAGCTAGAAACCATACTACTCAAGAAAAAAAATTCTTTCCCACTTTTTAAAGAGGAGTTTCTGAACATTGTTTTCATGTTTCTGAACCAATGACTTCATCAAATTCATCAGCCATTATTTCATTTTTAAAGAGGAGTTTCAGATATGGAAGAACCCTTGGAAGAACAGGTAAATCTGCTATGTTCACACTCATCATGTCAAAAGCAATACATGTTTTATGCATGTGTTTCTCATCAAAAACTGGGATTTTTGGGTATCTCTGACTGAAATGTGTAAGAATGATGCGGTATACATCTGCCGAGGCTCCCACTTCAATGGCTTCTTTTGTTGTGCTGTGATTCCTTGCAATAGCTTCCTCTGCCATTCCATCCTCAAATGTTGCCTGCAACAATGGCAAACACAAACCATTTAATCATCAATGCTTCCTTAACATTCTTTCCACATGATTCATAAGATAGTTAGCAGATGGAATTAGTACTTACAAACTTTTTTTCACATGGTGAAATGTATTAACATACATGGAATGGAAACACTGGGGAAAGGTACAAACACTCCAAGACCGAGCATAGTTGTCAAGGTGACAGGCAACAAGGCAACCAATACCCAAGGAGGGTGGGTTGCCTCACCCAAATGCCTAGTAGTTTTTGTACAAGACACCATAAAATTTTCATTTTTTTGTCTCGTGAGATTATAATATTGAAACAAATTTTACTTCACTAAATTATTATATGTGGATTTTGTACAATGGCCAAGGGACCCTCTCCCTTGTCAGTAACACAATTTCTTTTTCTTTTTTTTTTTTCTTTTTGAAGCCAAATACAATTTTTTATTGTATACTAGTTTCTTTCAATCATGTTCTCATTTGTTAAGATTTGATCAACACACCAGTTACTTGACGTTGTGTTGAATTCTTGAAGGTCTCAAAACCTGAACTGATAAACAAGGAAAAACTTGAAAATTTTATCCAATCAACACACAAGAGCAACTGAGGCATGTCTTCTTCTGCCCCTTTCATTTTCCTTTCTCTGCAAAAGAAACACAGGTTCCACCCCTTTCTCTCTCTAGGACAATCTTCTTCTTCTCTTCAATATGCTGGTTTTCTATATTTTGATACGAAGCTTGAAGACTATTGGTAATTATAAGTGAAAGATGATTGTTGGTTGCTAGTTGCTATGGAACATAGGGAATTACCAGATGATAAATATAAGAAAAATCAAGTCCATCACCTACGCAGGCACCTAGACAACAACAAAGCACTTCCCTGTTTGCCTAGCTCTTTGATTTTCTATTTTAATCCAGTATAGTTTCAGTTGAGTAGCATTACTCAGAGTTGTGGATATCCATTAGAAATTTTCTCAGTTGAAGAAAATTTGCAGTTATCTGTTACATTCTGTGTCTATCTTGACTTCCTTCTCAACCAGTTTTCATTAAGTTTGAAGTGATGATCTCAGAATTTGATTGTCTTCAGATGAATCCACAGATTTATGACATGGAACCATGTTACTTCTAGCGAGGCTGGTAACTGTAATACTGGATAGGAAAAAGATCCTTTATCAATAGGATGACTTACCTCATGTATAAGAACTGTTGCTCCCTGAGATGCGGCTATCAGTTCAGGACAGGGCCTAGTGTCACCAGAGTAGACAAGCTTCCAACCTGGAATAGTTTTTCCAACAGTGTTGACTCTATCTGCCGCCTTCAGGACAACACCAAATGCCTGTGGACAATGCACAACAGGCACACTGACCAGAGCCTCCAAACCTGCTTCACCAAGAACCTTCTTCAAGTTCTTTAGGAGCTCAAAGGTCATACCAGAGTCAACTGGACTGCTAGGTCTCTTCCAAAAGCTCTGCATGGGGCTGCCTCTTGCAAACAAGGTTGTCTCAATATTTTGCACTGCAACACCTTGTCCATCTCTGCTATTCAAGTTTTCAACATCAGTTCCTGACGTGAAGTTATTTTGATTAGATTCAAGAGCATCCTTGAAGGCATCCAATGAAGCTTCTGTTGTGTGCCTGCAGTCAAGGAACTGCATATCTAGATCCTCAAGTTTTTGGTACGCATCCAAAAATCTTTTAAGCTTCCTTGGCCCAATAACAAGTAATGGTTCATGAGCAACTTCCTTTAACAACTCTCGACGAAGAGCAAGTATTCTTGCTAGACCGGTATGATGATCAGCATGAATATGAGAAATCCAAATAAATTCCAATCTTCTCACAGCATTGTCAGCACCCTTTACACCATATCTGTACACAAGAGTTTCATAGGGCATCTCTATCTATTAAAAAAGAAACAAAAAGAAATACAATAGTAGGCAAATGAAACATTCTAGAGAATAGGATTCACCTCCTCTTTAGTTGACCCAGTGTCCCTTCACCACAGTCCAACAGTAAACTTCCTTTTGAGAAAAGATTAATATAGACTGAACTAACATTGCGGTATTTGGATGGCTGTGAAGAACCGGTTCCCAGAAGAACAATTTCCATGTCCTCTCGTGTGATATTCTCCAGACAACTAGGAACAGTTTGATCATTATTAACTTCATCCATGTCAGTGGCATCCAGACATGGGATCTCCTCCCTTGATATCTTATCAGGTTTAGAAGTATTCTCATTTATCCATGGTTCTTCAATCATAACTACATCATCTTGCACAGGTGATAGTCTTTTAGATTCTTGGGACTTGCACCATATCTGGCTAATTTGTTCTGCAGCATCTGTAATCTCAGGAATCTCTGAGATAAGTTCATCAATGACCTCTGTTGGTGTCAATGAGCTTGGAATAACAGATTTATCCAACCCAATCTGTGCATATGGACGCAGAGTAAACTGTAGTAGCATACAAAGATAGAGATATTACTTAGAAGGAAATAGTATGTAATATTAAATAACTTATCAAAAAAATATAGTATGTAATATTAAATAAATAAACACATGTGATATGTTTATGATTTTTTAACACGAAGTTAAACACCAAAGAGTAAGATTTTTTATCCAAAATGACCACAAATAACATGAAAAATTGAGTTATCTCCCAAAAAGTGATCAGAAGAATTAACCAAGGGTTACTGTCTGTTACTTCACCCTCTTAGTGAAGGTCAGTTAACAATGGCTAGTTATTCATTTTGTATTAACCCTCTTAACAAAGGCAGCAATACTGGAAAATTACTCTACTATGAAATGATAAGGCTGATACTTCACCAATAGTAGCACAATTCTCATCATCGTGGAAATACTTAAACAAAGTTCATAAGCAAATGTACAAAGGAAATTTATGAGCATAAGTGTCAAGGATCAAGACTCATAATTAGCTACAAGTGTTATATGTAACAAAACACACAAGAGTTAAAGTATATTGTAATAATGAATAAACTTTAAGATTCTTGAAACAAATTGAACCTCAAACTAGGGATAAAATCATAAAAATGCTGATGTTTAATGTATTCTGAGCATGAAGGGGCCAAGAAGTGCTTAATCCAAAGGAGATTTGCAGATCAATTAGAAGATCGAGCTAATTAGTATGAATCTCCAGAATTTAACAGTTCACTAGTTTCATACCTTCAGAAGATTTTCAGCAGAAATGCCTTCACAAAGCTTTGGAACAGAACCCTGGAAAGAAGAAACCAACTGCTCAATAGCCCTGAGCATGTTAAAAGTAACTACCAACCCCTAACCATACAATGTAATCCAGGAATCAGTTTGGTAATCTTTCTTAAATGAGAAGCCACATAATTACCTCATTTATAGAAAAAGTGTATGGTTCAAAGTTGTTAAGGTGCTGAAGAGACCAAAAACCAGGGGCTGGAAAGAACTGAGGACACAGGTAATTAAGCCTTGCTGAAATTCTTGCACTAGATTTTAGAATTGGAACTTCCAAGTTCTTTCTGCAAATAGGAATAAGAAACCCCATAACAAGTTTGCAAAGGAAAAATGATGATTACTAACAACCAACGTGATAGTAATACTGAAAAATGAATAAGTTCTCACATTTCATGTCCAGCCATGATATGTTGGGCCCCACCAAATCTTTTCATCCATTTCTGGTAATCAGGAGTCTTTGTAACAAAAGCTGGACTCAGGTGAATTACACAATTTACAGACTTAACATCATCCAGCTTGTCGTCCAGAGAATCAGCATAGTAAGGACTTAGAGATTCTACAGACAACAACTCTTGTAAATGAGATAATGTAGGGCAGTCGACAAGGAGTACAATTGGGCCAGGAACCGAAGGACCAAGCACATCACTTGGATGAACCTGCATAACCAGGTAAATGAAGCCATGTGTTAGAAAAAAAATAATTTGAATATTGGCTGAACAACCATGTACTGATATGTCCTTCAGGTGTGTGCAAGTACCAGGATATTAACAAATAGTTTGATCTAACCCACCATAATATTTTGACGATCTGACTTGACTGAGTTCCCAAGTTGTAGTTCACGATATTTTGGACCAGGTTTCAATCCAAGGGCCGCAGCTTTTGCTGGGTCAAACTTCCCCTTAATTTCAGGCAACTCACAAACATAAACTACAGAAACGTCACCAGGCTTCAGCACTGGTAGAACTTTTCTATCTGGACTTTTTGGATGTGGTAAAAGGGGTTTCATAAACTGATCCTTTTTCTCCTGCGGACCTACAGAAGGATTCAATAAAGTGGAATCTTCACTCATGACTTGATGCCCCTCAAAGCAACTTGGCCGTAGGAGAATTGCAGATATCTTAACAACCTCATCATCAATGAGAACAATGGGGTCTGTAAACTTCCCCATATCAGAGACTGCAGATCCTTTGGCACTTGGTGCTGGCCCAAAACCATGGGTGTGAACCATGGCAGCATTTGGAATAAATGAACGCATAGCATCAATTAAATATTTGAGATCAGAGGGGCCCCACATGTTAACCTTCAAAACAACAAAAGCCAAAGGTTATAGTTCTATGATTGCATATAAAGCATAGTATCCCATATCTATTCCAAAGAATGGTTCAGAAAAGCTAAATAATACACAAGTTAGAATGATGATGGTATTTTATGCATCTCAATTTAAGTTAACTTACAGACATTCCTTCCTCTCCCATGCCAGCCAAAGTCAGTAGAAGACCTGTGATAGTACAAGATTGCAGGTAAGGAACTATCCAGATAATCATGTTTTACTTCCAACTAAATGTGAAACAAAATATGAATATTTAATTAAATAAAATATGCATATTGAGGGTACAGTTTTTGCTGTTTTATTTGAGAGACTTAATCACAAGAAAGAACCCAGCTTAAGGTTATTCTAAGTGCAATATGGAACCTGAGTATTTTGGTCTGCTTTTATTCTGTAATTGGACCTATTATATCAATCATAGCAAAAGTGAGGCATTTAAATCCAGCATGTAGTGGAATTAGTAGAAGCTTGCATTGTAGGTCTAGCCATATAGCAACTTCCTTCCAGGTACTTGAGAAGCCCTTTGGGAGAGCCCAAGGTCATATGGAACCCAATAGTAGAGAGATTATGCTAGTAGAAAACTGGCTTGAAGAAGGGTTACCTATTGAAGGGAGGCAATTATACTCTATTTAAAACAGAAATTTGTTATTTTCCTGTCCAAGATTTATAACTCTTCTCCATCCATTACCTATCAAAAAAAATCTGAATATCCAGAGAGAGAAAGAAAGAGAAACATGCAGATGGAGAAATCCCAATATTTTCTGGAGGGTCGTTGCAAGCAAATATGGGCATGACGCATGGGTGGGAGTTCCTACCAACAACAGAATTTTGCAGTTCTATGGTTTTTTTTGAGAGAGAGAAAGAGAGAAAAGGTAAAGTATTTCATTAAAGCAAACTGAAAAGATACAACCTTGCCCAATGAGGCACTGGGCAACACAAAACACTTTGTACATCCCAAAAAACCACCATATGAGCATCATACAAAAAGATTACTGTGCTCAAAAAAAGAGCTGTAAGGACAATTCTTGAACAATTTGTAAGTCGCCACCCAGGAGTATAACCTTCCCCAAATACTCTTTAAGACTTCCTCCTCTGACCTAAAATTGTCTTCAAAAAGCCTCATATTTCTTTCTGACCAGATTGACCACACTACAACCGCTGGCAGCACCTTCCAAACAATCCTACCTCTCCTCGATAAACCCCTCAGGCCCCAGCTCTGTAACAGTTCCAATACATTCCTTGGGAGGCACAACTGAACTCCAAAAACCTTTAGAATTTTCGTCCAAATTTCCCAACTGAATCTGCAGTGCAAAAAGGGATGCTCCAGCTTCTCAGAATTGTTACCACATAGAACACATCTGCTTGGTTCTACCACCCAACCTCTCTTTGACAGATTATCAGTTGTTAGGCATCTCCCTAAAGCTGTCACCTACAAACAAAAAGAGACTTTTAGAGGAGCCACCATCCTCCATACCAAATCTTCGGGGAAGTTAGCTTCCTCATCGCTACAAAGGCTGCTGTAAAAGGATTTGACTGAAAATACCTGAATTCTCCCTTGCCCAAATCCTCCTGTCCCCCCTTGTACTATCCACCCTCACCACATTCAGGATCATTTAGGTTCCTTCTAAAACTGGGACACCACACGCCTGCCCCTCCAACCTGAGAAAACACCTCCAACACCATACGGTCCTTGTTGATAGCAATATCAATGAGGGTTGGGAATCTGTCCTTAAGAGGGTTATCCCCACACCAGACCTCCTTCCAAAAACTAACTCTAGATCCATCTCCTACTTCCATTCTTAATCATTGTCTAAAATCCTTCGCTGACTGCACATCCATAAGATAGATTTGATTCCCCTGGGTCCCAACTTGAGTTCCTTGCCGTACTTAGCCCCTATTGCTCTTCTCCATTGGTGTGTGGTCTGTTCATTCCACCTCCGATACCATTTCCCTAGACCAGCCAAGTTAAACTTTCTCACATTCCTTAACCCCAAACCTCTGGCCTTTATTGACTTGCAGGCTTTGCTCCAGCTAACTAAATTAAATTTAAACTCATCCTTCCATCCCTGCCATAGAAAACTTCTCATTGTCTTCTCCAACATCTTGGCCACACTGGCTGGAAAATAGAACAGAGACAATAAATAAGTGGAAAGAGAAGACAAAACACTTTTTAATAATGTAAGTTTTCCTCCCTTCAATAGATACCTCGATTTCCAAGAGGGTAGTTTCCTTTCCGTTCTTTCCACCACCGGTTCCCAAATCTTCTTAGAAATGCATTTTTCTCCAAGTGGCATCCCCTAGTACTTTGATGGCAACTTTCCAACCTTGCAGCCTACAATATCTGCCAACACTTCCAAATTAGGACCAGCCCCCACTGTGGTTCTATGATTCAATGTTCCATCACCAGTTCTCCTTGGATTTTAATATGCATATTTCTTTTGTGGTGGACCAGGGAACAAGCTATGACTTTTAGAAGATAAAAGGTGCCTTTGCCAACACTTCAGCTAATGTTTATTCTTTCCCGTCTTTGTACCACATGACCATAGATAGGGGTGAGTCAGTCCAGGAAATACTTTGAATCGTGAGTGTGGCAGTGAAGTATAATGGACCCTCTATTTCAGGCTTCATTTGAATGATTAAGAAACTGACTCCTCATGGACTTCTTGGTTTGACTGCCACAGGTTCTAATATGCATGGAGATAATAGAAAGGTGTGGAGCATCAATCCAGAAGGAACTTCTCCTATTAAT